AATGGCAAGTGAAGACAACCATCTCTGCTTTGCAGTCTCCCAGGGATGGGTGTGAAGGCCAGCGGAAACTTCGACTGTGGGATTGTGACCTATCTGTAACGAATTAGGTAAATACATGGAATTCATATTACTCTGCCGTAATACATCCTTCGGCTTGTTACACTGGAGATCTCTCTCTCTTTTTGAAGATTTCATTTGTTTTTATTGGAAAGGTAAATTTACAGAGAGACAGAATGATCTGTCCACTGGTTCACTTCTTAAATAGCCGCAATGGCTGGATCTGAACAGATTCAAATCCAGGAGCCAGGAGCTTCCTCTGGGTCGCCCACGCAGGTGCAGGGTCCCAAAGGCTTTGCGTCATCCTCTGCTGGTTTCCCCGGCCACAAGCAGGGAGCTAGATGGGAAGTGTGGCAGCCAGGTTACAGACCAGTGCCATATGGGTTTCTGCCACTTTGCAAGGGGAGGGTTAGCTAACTGAGCCAAAGGATTTCTCCCTTTCAGGAATGTTTTCTTTTTTTGTTGTTGTTTTGTTTTTTTTTATTGTTGCTTACATTGTATTATGTAGTACAGTTTTATAGGCACTGGGGATTCCCCCCACCCCTCCCATACCCCTCCCCCCATGGTGGATTCCTCCACCTTGTTGCATAACCATAGTTCAAGTTCAGTTGAGATTCATTGCTTGCAAACACTTGCCTAGCATAAAGTTCAGCGTCTTATTGCCCAGATAAGTTCAGTGGCCTCTTGGGGAGACCTTCTATGGTCAATCCAAGTCACCTGGGCAGTGTTTGCCTCATCCCCATCCTGGCCTGCGTGAAGAAAATTGATGAGCAATATCTCCGTGTGTCATTGGCGTGTTTGTATCCCCTGCTCTGCTGCCCTGTTGACACACGTGTTGAGTCCCTACAATGTCTCAGCCAGTGTGCTCTGGGCTGGAAACATGCAAAAGTGCACCGTGAGTCTTTCTGTCTTTGAGTAGTTAATTTCAGAAAACGTACCTGCTCTGCAGCTAGCAAATTCGCCTGATAGCTTAAATACACCATTTCCAGGATGAAACAAGCACCTGTTCTCTAGTCCTCCAGTACCTGTGCAATGCTTGTGTTTGCTTTGTCCATGAAACTACCAAGGAAGTTCCACGCTGTTCTCTGAGCAGAACACAGGATCCTACTGCTTCAATTACTAGCCAGATCCTTTCCATTTACTTAAAAGATCCAAGTGAAGTGCATTTAATCATTCATCTTCCAAGACATTTAGATCAACACTCTCAATTTCTACTGGAAAATATCTTCCAGCCACTTCTCTGTGGCTGCATGGACACCCACAGCTCACTCTAATCACACTGCATGGGTGACGGGAGCAACCTGCAGCTTCTCCGCTCTCCAGCTCGGTCCCTACAAGCCTGCCGGATTAATGTTCCCTCCCCCACTAATCTGATGCTACTGCCTCCTTCCTCAGATTTCCTGAACACCTTCGGGTACAGGGTAGATGGCGTTATCACCTATACGGTGTCTGCAGTGATGCTTTCAGAGTCTAGGAAGTTCCCCAGGTGGCGGTGACACTATTTTGATGAAGGCAGCATGTTTTGGAGAAGAAAACAACTTGGTCGTGAATGCCATGCAAAGTGTGACAAAGGCCCCCTGATGTAACAGTTCCGGCCAGCCAGTGACAGAGCACAGTCACGGCAGGAGGGACACAGCAGGCACCCCACCCTGAGACTGCAAGGCCGAAATGACGACATATTAATTTTCTCAAACGGAGAGAAGGTAAATAAACATTGTGTGCAGTGTATATATATATATTTATTTAAAAGAACAAGTTGCAGCTCGGAAATTTTTCAGTTTTTCTCATTACAAAATCAATAGCCATCAGCAGTTTGAAATTAAAGGCAAGATTAGGCCTCAGTTTTATATATGCCTTATTGTATTCCAAAAGCTTTCTACTCGGTAAGATAAATCTTCTTTAAGAGGATTAGGAAACTTTCATTATCTTTATCTAACCTGAACTAACACTAAGTCTGAAAAATTAATCTATAGACTGGACAAATGCCGATAGCTGCTGGGGAGACCGAGGGCTCTTGGGCTTCTTCCTGATTGTGTATTAGGAGCTGCACGTCCACAGCGTGGCGGGTCAACTGGTTCCCAAGAAAGAACCAGGCATCAGGGTGTGCAGACTGAACCACTTCTCCGTAGTCACTCCACAAACACAGAGACGCACCAGCCAAAAATGGCTGCAAGGGGAGGCTCCCCGTCCCTGGGAGCCAGCCTTTTGGACGACTGGGGGTCAATTGTAAGCAGCTCAACCTGGAACAGCAAACATGGCAGCCCTGTCCCTTCCCTATCCTCAGGCTCCATCCTGAATCTGGGAGATGCACAGGGCCACTCCGTGGGCTCCCGCATCTCAGGCAGCAACTGTTCCAATGGCCAGCTGGGACCACAGCGCAAGCATCCCTGTGCCTGCAGCAACCTCATGGTGGCCACACCCTCTTTCTCCTGCTAAGTGTTTGTCTGGCTCTGCCCAGTATATCTTTGCAACTGCCTGGCAGTTTTGCATTTCAGCATGCAATTCCTGAGTTTGAAGACATTTTTGCAGTGACGGGTATGGAAGTGCCTGTGAGGCCTCGCTTCCCATGCTGGTAATTTTAACTCCACTGCAGAGCAGTGCAAGTGGCAGGCAGGGCAGTGACAACCCACAGTCCCTGATATCTGCACTGCTCAGTTTGTGTCAGCTGCCTCCCCTCTTCAGTGCTCCCCCCATCTTCTCAGGAGAGGCATAAGATGTGATGGCTGTCTCTATGCCCAGCCGAAGGCTGTCATGTACTTCCAAGTTTGTGATCCTTGTTCGCTTAAACGTCCAGGTGACATATACACACAGTAGAAACCAGCAGGCTCCATATATGCTTGTTCTACGGCAACTTCCTGGACAATCTGAGAGCACATAACACTGAAGGACGGGCTGAAAGGCTTGGCAGAAGCAAAGCTCTGAGAAATATGGCAGTCTAGGACTTGCTGTGCAATGGAATTGCAGGCAACAGCACTATGGCCCCATGCTAGCCATTATAAATGGCTCACAGGACAGCAGGCATGCAGCCAAGCCTGGATTTGAATGCCTAGGTTTGAGACACATTTCTGGCTCCTGAGTCCAACCTGTTGCCACTGCACATGCTGGGAGGCAGCAGGTGCCTGCCCAAGGGTTCCAGTCCCTTCCAGGCAGATGCACAACCTGGACTGGGCTTCTGGCTATGGGTTTTAGCCAAGCCCAAAACAATCTGCTGGGTGCACATCTGCAGAATGATACGGCAGGCAGGAGCTCTATTTCTGTGCATGCATGTGCCTCTCAAGTAATAAACAAAAACATATATATACATACATATTAGTATACCATATTAGTATACTGAAAGCTATAATGATCTATAGAGGCTGCTGTGGAGTACTCTGGCCAGAAGGAAAAACAAAACAAAACAGAACAGACAACCTGAATTGTACCAGTGACTGAGACAGACACACATGAACCCCTAACCAGCCTCTGTGCTGTACTCAGCTGAAAGGATTGAATCACACTACATATTTTTTTTCATACTATATTTTGTATAAAGCAGACATAAAGAGCTCTACCCTGGGGTCTGGGCAATAGCCTAGGAGCTAAATTCTCACCTTGCATGTCCCAGGATCCCTTATGGGTGCCAGTTCATGTCCTGGCTCTTACACTTCCCTTTCAGCTCCCTCCATGTGGCCTAGGAAAGAGCAGAGGTTGACCTAAAGCCATAGGACCCTGCAGCCACATGGGAGACCCAGAAGAAGCTCACGGTTCCTGGCTTCAAGGTTGGCTCTGCTCCGGCTGTTGAGACTTGGAGAGTGAACCAGTGAATGGAAGATTTTTCTGTCTCTTCTCTTTGTAAATTTGTCTTTCCAATAAAAATAAAAATAAATCTTAAAAAAAATCTACCTTGGCTAAGGAAGACATATGCATTCCCAAAACCAAAAATGGCAGAAGGAATCTGATAAAAGGCAGTTACTACAGACCAACTCATGCCCAGGGAACCTCTTGAGAGCACAGCGCTTGCCATCAAGCTGCCAGCTCAGATGGCCCTAAAGGATGCCCTTATTTGGCAGAGGAAGGATGTACCATTGAAGGACAGAACTGGTCTGTTTGGAACTTCATTGCAGCCGTGAGCCAACCCCTGACATGAAGTAGTGATGGCAGCTGGGGTCAGCTCAAAATAGGCACGTTGGGATGCTGTCTCGCTTTTCATCTGCATCTCTTGAATTCTTAATGAATCTCTTTCACCTAAGATGCTGACATTTCTTCAATCCCTTTTATAAAATCTACAAAGTGAAATTTAAATTCAAAACTGCCTTAACATGCACCTATATGATTATTATGGCTGAACTCCAGTGATTCAATATTTTTATGTAGAATGGGAGATGTTAAGGCTTTCGGCCTCGGTACCCTCCACACACATGCTGTGTTAATTATACGATTTTATTTCCAATGTTGACCTGAAGAGACCACACTGATGCCATTCCTTTTGGATCTTGGCTAAGGGAGACTGAATGGATGTGGCAGCAGTGTCTGGGTCCTGACAGGTCAACAGTAAAAAGCAAGGCCAGCAAGTGGTCAGAAGTAGTCTAGTCACATCGTTTCCCATCACGATAATTAGGCTTTTGTTACACACCCTCCGTACTTATCTGCATGTAAATGTCCTTTACCCTGGCTCCAGAATGCTGAGCAACTAAGCAAAGCTTGGCTGCCCTCCTGCCATACAAACCATTTATTGGTGAGAATGAGAGGACTAGAGATGAAACTGAGAAATGCTGAGAAAATGCTCTGAATCCAGATTAGAACCTATGAGATTTCAGGAATCTAAGATGTACGCTCCACTCGGCGATTTAACAGGCGAAGATCGCTTTGTGACATCACACGGGAGTAGAAAGATCAAACACTCCTGTGGTTCTTTCCCTCCTTTGCCAACTGGCAGGCCAGCTCATGGCCCATGTGTGTCTTACCTTGCACAATGAGGTGGACCCGTGAGGTTTTGGGGTGATTGTCTGTCTGCACAGAGCAGGTGTAGGGACCTTCGTCATACACATCCACATTTTGGATCATGATGCTGTACTGGGTTGGCGTGTTGACCAGGATGATCACACGTGGATCTATGGACCACTTGTCATTTCCAGCATAGAGGATTGTGCTGCGGTTTAGCCAGGCCACCCGAGTGACTCTGTCATCTATGGTGCACCTGTCAGTGAGGCAAGCAGAGAAAAAGGAGCACGTTGAGAGATCATCTCACACACATACAGTTCATTCTGAGCAGCAAACGAAACAACAGGACAGAGAGCTGAGAGAAGATAATTAATTATTGATGAAACTTCCTAAATGTTAGGTAAGAGCAGACTGAAGCATCCTGTTGAATTGATGATCCGAAAGCATTTTCATTTGATTTAGAAAGACATTACATGGCTGTCGTGGCTTTTCCTCTAGTTTTTGCCCGTAGGCTTATATGAAAATTAGTTTATGTTTTTAAGCACATTTACCACCTTGTGGGAGCAGCCACTTAGGGGGAACTGGGGAGAGAAAGTGGATCAGTATTACAAATAGGTCACAGATAACCCGCAAAGCAAATGCTAAACTTGCAGTTAATCAAAAACTTGAACACTTTTTTTCCCTCCAGGTTTTCCAGGAGTTGATAATCTCCTTCTACCTTTAAGCCGACCAAAGCCTGGCCATGACACTTCATGACATAAATTGGTAAAAATCCATGTGTGAAGCAGAGTCATGGCTGCCTCTTGCAATTACAATGAAGGGAAGGGGAAAGCTATCAGAAAAGTGGCTCTTCCCTCCTACACTCCTCCCCCTGCCCCACTAGAGAAAGAAGACTGTTGTTATCACAGCAGCAAGCCGACCTCTACCTCTCACCTGCTCACCCCAACAATTCCTGGCTAGGAATGCAAATGGAATTTGCTTTTTTTGATGTGCATGACCTGCAGGCTATCAAGCCTCATGCAGAAAAGAAAATGTGCCTGCCTGGCAGGAAGAAGGTCTGTAGATATGCCCGAGGAACTTAGAGCCTGGAATGGAACCAGAAAAACAAGGAGTTCTTTCTAGATGCGGATTTAGCCCACAGGCCCAGGGTGCATGCAGCCCCTACTGTCACTGCCCTTGATGATGCCAGCCAGTGGGCTGACACCCTGGTGGAGGGCGGGTGAGGGTTCGTGAGTCTTGTGTCCTCATTTGATTACACAAAGAACCAGTCCGGCCTTGCCTTGACTTGTGGCAGTGGTCCTGCAAACAGCACTCAAGATGTAGATGACAAAGGCCAAGGACACTGGCAAAGTGGTCAGTGCGACACAACATTAGTGATCCAGGGTCTCAGAGCACTAAAATAAAAGCATCCCTTGAAAAATGGAAATAACCCAATCCAGGCAGGTAGTTGTCCCAGTAGGTAGAATGGATGGCATAATACTGGCTGCCAGTCACCACTCACCAGTCACCAAGGCCTTTAGGTCTCCCCCTGTCATTTAGAAGGTACAAGTGTGGGGAGATGCAGGATTTGGCTTGGGTAATAATTAAGTTCTTTCAAAGCATGAGAAAGAGAGATCATTGCTTTCTAAATTGTCCTTATTGCTATTTTTTCCCTACATACAAAAATAAGTAAAGCATATTTTTGACCTGTTAACAATTCTAAGTGAAGTATATGTTAGTCATACGAAGATCCTAGAGGGTGAGATCAGCATTCACTCCCCACCCACTGCCACTGCCCTCGAGTTACCATAATGGAAGTGTTCTGTTACCACTCATTCCCTGCCCTGCTCCTTGTAGACACACCCTGCAGGTACAGAACTTGTGTTGATTTCTTTTACCAAACCAGTCACATTGCAATATAAATAATCTGAAGAAATGTTACTTCCTTTCACCTGACCATAGGGATTTCTACACAAGTACTTTCCATTCTAGTTCTTCATTACTCCACGGTAAATCTGCAGTCAATGAGGGGCGTTCTGGGCATCAGTTGCCTCTTCTCTCATGACTTGATCATGTGGGTACCATCAAACAGAGCTGCCCCTTCGTGTTTAGGTTCACTATTACTACACGGAAAGCGGAAGTCATGTTGCTCCCTCTGCATCCTGGAGCCCTTGCGTCTCTTTCTGCTGTGACTGACTGCTTCCACGGCAATTTTCTACTTCTCTTTTGAAGACCAAATCTTCCCTGCGCCTCACTTTCAATTGCATTTCTTAGGGGAAAAACTGCGCTTACTCTCAGCTGGAAATGGTCCAAAAGGGCTAAATTTTCTTAATAACGGTTACTGTTTCAGAACTACCAACTTCATGTTTGGATGATCCGAATGGGTTGAAATTTGAACTTTGTTCTAATGGTAGAATTCTAGCCATCAGCAAGCCTGGAGTAGGTAGTAGAAGGAGACAGTGTGAAGGTCCCTAGAACCTAGAACCACACGAGCCCAGGTGGCCAGGGACAAACAAGCATCCTTCCTGTGATTCTGGCCATCTATTTAACGTCCTATCCTTTTGTAAACTAACATAAATATGTCCTGGGGTTGGGGATGGATGCTTTAGTCTCCAAAAGAGAACTAGAAATCGTTATGGGTGGGAGAAATCAGAGGGAAAAGAGAAGGGCACCCAAGTGCCGAGAAGACAACAGGAATTCAATTGTTGCATCTAGTAAGGCCCCGGGATCCACGTTGTTTCTGCTTCAACTTGAGCTGCTATTGTCATCTTATGCCGCTATAGAATGTATACTTGAAAAATATTTTATCAGTGACATATCATTTTTACTTGCGGTGAAAATGGATATTGAAATTTAATTTATTTCCTGTGACCACGAAGCTCTAACACATGCTTTAAAAATAGGTTATCATCCCAAATGTAAAGTTGATACAGTGTAGATGTGCACGTTAAATAATAATGAAATGTTAAAAAGTAAACTTTTATTTCAAATGTGGCTCCTAATTAGACAGATGGGATTTGGGCTTAATGAAATGGATAAATATCACTTATTGTTAGAATAACATAGAACTGAGGATTAATTATATTGCTGGTTTTGCTTTTAGCGAAGTCTTGTTCACATAAGCAACAAGATGGAAATGAAAATTTTTATAGCACTGCCACTCAATTCTTTGAATGTCTTCCAAGATACATGCCAAAAATTACATAGTTTAATACAGCTTCAAGAATTATTTTAATGACCTCACAGCTGACAACTCAATTAGTTCCTTTTTCAATTTCTTTTAAAGCAACAAATTGGAAAATACCTGGCTTGCAAAGGGTTTTGTAACCCGGGATTAGATTAATTCAATTCCTCAGTATCTGGAATGTATGCTGATAACATTTCACCACTCTTATCAAGTGCCTATTAAGGACACGCTACTCTTTTGCCAGATGCGCCTGTTTTAAGCCAGGGCACTTAGCAATGTGGGGGAAGGAAAACGCCCATTTGAATACACTGATTCACAGGACCCTCCATATGGAAACAGCTCTTTTCTCCAGCTCTAATTCCAAGCCACAGAATGTGCGGAGAGCGCCGTGGGGTTATTTTGGATGCAGTAACGTGCCACTGCCATTGGCATTTCTCTTCTTTACTCTGGTAGGACTCTTCATCAAGCCGATACCCTTTTGGATGACAGTTGAGAGATAGAGGTGACAGAGTAAAGGAAAATTGTCTCCTAGACAATTTGTGGTCAGAAGATAGAGGCAGAATGACAAAGTACCAGAGGCACGTTCTTGAGCAGATTGGCTTTAGAGAAACAGAGACGTTGAGGCGCATTTCCTTGCAACCAGCACTGCCCTCCTGAAGGAGCAACAGCTGTGGATTAAGGGCAAGGGAAGCCAGTGTACATTATCTCAGGACCTATCAAGGGCTGACCTTGAAACTCATCAGTCCAAATTCTCCTCTGGGGCCAGAAGCCACTCTAGTGCCCTTGGGAGACTTGCCTGGTCCCTGTATGAACACTCCCCAAGGTCAGGATGATGACCTAATGAGTGTGCTCTCAGCCCTCGGGTGACACAGAAGGGTTTGGAGCCTGTAGTTTGCAGAACGTAACTGAAGCTGAGGAAGCTCAGCGGAGTGGCGATACTGACAGTTATTTCCCGCAGGAAGTTCCAGTGCTTAGAAGAAAGCGGAGTTGCACGGCTCCTTGCTCTCTACCATCGCCGTAGGTCCCCTGAACAGCAGGAAGAAGAACTCAGTGAAGGATTTCAAAAGTGTGCTCAACTCTTCATCGTCACTCGGGCTCCCTCCCTGCTGCTTGTGGCAGCGTCCTGGGCTCCCATTAACAAGCAGCACATAGGGGAGCATTTTTGATGTCAAATAAGGGGGAGCCAAGAAGCAAGCTGAAGAAGGTTAATGATGGCTTTCTGATCTCCTGAAAACTGTATCTGATAGTTAAGACTCTAACATTCTAAACTCTACCTATTAGACCTTGATAAACTAGGATTCATTATAATTCTATCATAAGCAGTCCCTTAAAATTGTAAATTGCTCACACACCAGAGCTTTAAGAACATTATATATACATAATTTGAATGTGTATATATAATGCATAGCTGAATATATATGTAAATGACATTATTATTTCCACGGCCATCCTCCGAGATGCACTCCATTATGACTCACATGTTACACTTGAGGCAACTGAGGCACTAAGACATTCAACAGCTACCATACAATCTGCAAGAAGTTCAAACTCAGACAGTCTGGTATGGGAATTTTCATATTTAATGGTTCTGAGGACCGAAGCAATGAGCCCAGCTGGATTTGGCTGACATCATTTGATTACTTTTCCTCTTGAGTGTAGGGTAGGAGATAAAATAAGGTAGAAGAAAAAAATCTTACTAGAACTTACTTCCATATACCCCAGAGCCTCATATAAATGCATTTGAGGATGGATGGAAAACAGAGATGGGCAGAGCAAAGCAACACTTGGAAACGGTCAGAAGGCAAGCGCCCGCAGGATCAGAAAGACAGTGCCTCAGTTTCCAACTGCATTGCAGGCTGTGCCTGGCTAAAGATGCACGCATTGGTCTGTGTCCAGCAGAGAAGGTGCAGTTAGAGGAAATCGAACCCTTAAAGCAATGGACTTCAAACCTCAGCTTGGCGTAACAACTCAGACCACTCAGCATTTTGTCGGACTAGAGGGGACCTGGAAATGGGTGTTTCTACCAGGTTCCTGGTTGTGGCGGCATTCGGGCTCAGAGATCTGCTGTCTTAGAACCACTGCCTGCCTTT